GGGCATGATGGGCGACGGTCCACCGAGGATGGGGATGTCCATGCAGGGGATGGGGGGGATGCCAGGGGGGCCTGGTGGGGGAATGGGCCCCCAAGACATGCCAATGGGCAACCCTGGCCACAACTCAATGCGGCCACCAGGATTCATGGGCCAAGGCATGATGGGCCCCCAGCACCGGATGATGTCCCCTGGGGGTCCAGGAGGGATGATGCAGGGGAGACAAATGGCCCACCCAGGCCCTGGCGGCTCACCTAACATGATGATGTCACTGCAGGGCATGGGCGGCCCCCCACAGCAGACAATGATGATGGGGGGTCAGATGAGGCCACGTGACATGGACATGGGGTTCAGTCCGGGCCCTGGAATGTTCTAATCCAACAGAAACCTTGTATCTAGAATGTTCTTGGACAGTACGCAAGGATGGAGTCACGGCGTGTGGAGGGTGTTCAGAAAACTCTGATGGACTCAAGTAAAGGAAGTATAATACGAGAGAGAGGATGTACTCAGAAATGAACAGAATGGAGCTAACCAGTCACCTAGTAATGTCCTGTGGGAACTATTCCAATGGAGACTTGGACAGGCCCAGATTGGAGTACTTTTGCCACAAGAACATTTAATTTTGACTCATGAACTTCAGAATGTATGGGATTGTTGTGCATCAATTTCGCAAAAAACTGTTCTTGTGTTTTTTGATTATCTGACTATAAAGATGACTTCAACATCAAAGAGGAATCAACCTAACAAGTCAGCGTGGAGATGCTACAGTATATGTCTACTTTTTTCAAATTTAAAAAACAAATTTGTCATGAAAGTGGTATGGAACAAGAGAAAGGAATAAGAAGAATCTGTGCTTTGTGAAGACTTTAGTGGAACTCCATCTTGTCTCTCGCTCCATTGTTTTGACTGTTTCTGTACAGTATATACGTGTGAGAGTGCGTGGGCGTGCTTGACAGACTGTATGTTTGTGTGGTATGTATGTATGTGTCTGTATGTATAGGCATTCTATCAGTGACCTCTCAACTCCTCTTACCCAACTTTCATTGGGGGAGGAATGCCCCCTAAAAATACTGTACTGTTTACCATTGGTGGGCTATTCGAATTTTAGTCTATTTTAATTTCCTTTGTAACTCCAGTGTATAACAAACCAAACTATGACCTCATTAAGATAATAGTATTATTAAAAAAGCACAAACATGGACCGTCTGCAGAAAGCGTCTTCTTTCTCTATTTTTACCATTGAGAGCAACACATTAAGTGTGAGGATCCTGGCAGCTTTGCAGCACAATGATAATCCCCAGTCAATTTCAAGTTGTGGATGACATTTGACTCGGTGCTCCAAAACTTTCAGGACTCAACTTTCGCCAGCGTGAATAATATTGCTAATACCCAGATGTGCTATGTGTGTTCTTCTTGTTCCTGTTGTGTTCCTGTTTTGTTTTGACTCTCTTGTTGACTCTGGGTAATAATCATTCCCACAGCAATAATCCCCAAATGGTCAGCAGAATTGGACAGGAGTGGCTGAATGCCACAGCAGGTATGCCAGGTGTTATAGAACTAGAGCTAGGTAGATCTGGTTTTAAAAAAAAAAAAAAAAAATTAGTAAGGCAGGTGTGGTGTCCGGAGTGAGACGCACAGAAATGTAAACACGTACTGCTTACCATCCAGTTGACTTCCTCTCTTTTCTCTATTGTATAAGCTTGTCATGTGTTTCTCCATTGGCTTTGGTGCAGAATAGCCTACCAGGGCTGTGGTGATGGACTACAAATAAAAGATATTGTTTTGGTATATACATGTTGTCTATGGAGTGTGTGTGCACACGTGTATGTGTCAACGTGGCTCTCGACTATTCACATCTAGTCAGTTATGTGGACCAGGTGGTGTCTTTGTCATTCTACACGTCAAACCTGCTTACCAACATTTAGCTACATCAACGAGAGAAAGTCATACTAAGTAGCAGCATCGCAGAGTTGACCTTTTATCAGGTGGTACTTACTGAAGAGCTATTTTCAGAGGACATCACACTTCCAAAATAGACGCAAGCTTGTTGATGCATTTGAACTCGACTAAACTAATTGTGCTTGTCTAACCTGTATTTTTAAGTTCTGCTTGGCTGGGAGGAACAGTACAGAGCCACTTATGTGAAGCGAAACAGAAAGAGACTTGACGCTGATTAAAATCTTTATTTATGCCTCACCTCTACAAACCAAACTGTTACATTTTAAGCAGCAGGTCAAGGGTTCAACTTCCCCCTGATGAAATACAATGCGTGTTATTGTAACACATTAACTCAGGTGCAGGTTTGATGCCGTTAACAAATCTCCACAAGTAAGCAACCTATTGTTTCATTCTTCAAACATACTGCAGCAGAATGATTCCCTTTCTGCAGCTTCTACGTGATTATGAAGACATTCACCTACACACGCACACTAATATACAATCCACTTCTGCACCCCTTTGTTAGTAAACATCAGATACAGTACATAAAATGAAGTATTCCCCTGAGGAATGAAATGATTGAATATGATCGATTCGATTGAACACAACCGAATGGGCAGAGTTATTGCATCAGCAAATACATACATTGATGCCACATATGGTCATCCTTTGAAAAAAGTGATTTTTTTTTTTTTTCAACACCTCCAAAAAAAGAGCAAAACCAGCAATGAATTATCTTAAGTATTACCGATGTAGGTAAAGCCTGACATGGTTTATTCATCTGTGCCGTATACCTCCAGTGTTATCTAAAAACTATTCAAAAACACATACAGGATCTACACCATTTCACTGGTTGGCATGTTCCTTTATAAGCAATGAACTTGGGCATGGTAGTTTATTGTGAGTCCATTACACATACTATAGACTGTCCTGGTGCTGTAAATTCACTCACTAGAAAACCAAATTGGTATCAATCCACAGCTGAAAATAGTCCCAAAGTAGTTGCTGACAGTAAGAAAAACATGGAATATCGCCAGCCTTCATTATGAAACAGACAGATGAAGTGCATGCAAACGGACATCTGTGCACTAAGCATCCGATATCGGGGGAAACACTGTATAGGAAGATCGTTTAGTCTGATGTAAACTAAAAGATCTAATCCAAGACCCAAAAAAGTTTCCCCTGGTGTATTCCGACAGTGAGGTATAATGTCTGAGGGTGGTTGGATGGAGTGAACTGAGTACATCAAAAAATCAAATAAAAACATGATGTGTGTTAACTGAGTGTAATGTAATGGGTAGCACTGTGTTGAGAGGTGAAGGTCTGTTGAGGGTTCAGGGCTTGGTTAAGCCCTCGACATTGTTACAAAGAGACTGGTGGAGTTCGGAGCTCAGTGAGTATGATGAGAGGGCCTGTTTGAACTCCTCCAGGGGGCAGTAGACTCCACTACAGCCTTGTATAAGTTGATCCTGAAAAAAAGGCAAGCAACTTATAGTAAAACACAAAGGAATAAAAAATGCGACAGCTTATTGAATAAACAGACATTCTCACCCCCTACCTGGCCTATGTATGACACTTTCACGAAGGCCTCGTCGGTCTGCCTGTGTTTGTGCAGCTCCAAAGTGATATCGGCGGCATACGGTGGCCATCGCATGTCAAAAACTCCCAGCGCCATCAGACAGGGGATCAAAGTGGTGTCATGTGCAGAGTACAAAAACAACTTCCTGTATGAGAGAGGATTTCAACAGTGGATCGTTTAAAGACCACACACAATCAAGTTTGTGCAAGAAATGAGTGTTTCCATCCCCGACGTGTCCCACCTGTCTGGCTCTGATGAGGTGCCCTGTAGCTTCTGGTCAATGTTGGCTAACATTGTGTGCAGGAGGGGTCCCACACACAGCTGCAAATTCTCACTGCCAAAAACACAGCAAAACAAAATTCATTAAAAGGTGGCCTGTGGAAAACAAAACAGTCCCCCCTCCTCCAATGCTGACTTGTTTAATCTAACCTCTTGCTGGGTTCGTACACGTGGCAGATCATGTCCACAGCTCTCTGTTCCACCGTACTCCTCCATGTGTCCAGCACTGGTGGGCAGGGCAGGCCGTGTGTCTGTGAATGTGCAGAGACTGGACACAGTCAGTATCAGCTATGCTGCTGAGCAACATAAAGCCTCAGAAGGAAACGCCTCGCACGGCTGACGGTTTTGTTCACCGTTTTCCAAAGCTATCATTTTATTTTGAGATATTTACCATTTCCCCTTTCATCATAGTTATTTTCTAAAGTGGTGTCTATTTTAAGCCATGACAGCAACATCTACTGGTAGCTGTATTTCTTTTTTGTTTCAGTGGATTAGCGCTGTACTGACTCAAAAATGTGTGGCTGTAATTTGTTAGTTTGAATCCGTTGTAACTGGTAACATTATCAGCAAGTTGTTAGGTAGCTTCAGCTTTGGGCTTTGGTTGGTGAGCGAAAAAGAGAATTCACCAAAGCCTAATAAAGATGTCCCTTCCGCCATGTTTCAGATATCTTAATGGCCCCAGTGTGCACATTCAAAAGATGGTTATTTGAACATCTATGAAAAATGCCCCTCTAAAGTCTGATATTACCCTACTCATTCAACTTGGCAAAAAATTATATTTCAGTCTCTTGTCTAGAAATGTATTTCTTTCACTGACTGAATTAGAAATCTTTAGATCTTTATGAATTCAGTGGGAACATATTTTTAAATATCTTCACCAATAAGTAAATACAATTAATGTATTGTAATCTAACTCAAATCATGCTTAATCTCTTATTTTAGCTTGTTCATAACTTGATGAACTCTGCTTTAGAGTTTCATCTTACATAACTAGCAGCTTGCTAGGTTTACGCCTCTGGCCAGGCCAAGTCTTGATAAAAAATGGTATGTATTCTGAGAGCTTGTGGAGAGACCTAATAAAAGTCATATGAATCATGATGTGGCAGTGTCACCTCTCTGGCAACCATGTCGTCCCTAATGAGGATGAAGTCGACGTGCTGGTGAGCAGCAATGCCCAACGCGCTCTGGATGCTCTGCAGGTCTGCTGCAATGTCTGGCAGAGTGGACGACTCTGCCCAGCGGTGGCTGCACAGAACACACAGTGTCAGCCACAAAACACAGACACACCATGACAACCTGTCAGAGGCATCTCAACTCGGCTTATAATTTTGCACAACATGTTATTCGAGAATCCAGTTTTGGGTAGCGAGTGCATCGGATATTTGAGTGCTTGGTGCGACTTGGTATGAAAATGTACTCCACGTCGTACCTGCCAAAGATTTTGAGCACCTTGCATCCGTTGTAGTTAGGATACAGGATTTCAGATTCTGCATCCGTTGTTAATATAGGCACAATTTCTTCAGGTGGAACAGAAAAGGACAAAAAGCAGATTAGATGAGATCCAGAATAGAGTAAGTAACACCGTGCACATGTGAATTTCTACCCTACCTTTTTGTTTTTGCTGGAAGAGTCCTGCTACCAGACACTTGGCAGATTCAATGGTCCTCACAATGTTAGTGGAGCGCACACTAAAAATGGAAAAAATAGGTCATGGAGGGCTGCCAACTTCAAAATAGCAAAGCATTTAGGCTGATACCCTTTGAACTGCGCTCATAACACAATGTATCAAAACTGTACAGTGCATACGAGTGCTCATGCTCTCACTGCCTGTCATGATGTGCGACACTTACTAGACCTCCGCTGGGTTAAAGGTGGAGCTGAGGAAATGACTCTCCTCAATGTATTTCCTCCTCAGCCTCTTGCCCAGCTCATACACCTGCTGCATGCCCACCGCGGTCAGCTGACCGGGGAATGTGCCACCCTGCAACAAACAAGGTCAAGTTTTACACACAGACCTGCGACAGCACGCAGGAATCCAGAGGGAATGTGGTACAGGGATGGCAGGAGTCCATATTGTGGGATTTGGTTTTTCTAAGCTAAATCCAGTGCAGTAAACGTCTTTAGCAAAGCAGCTGACTCAGCACAAGAAACT